ATCTTATAATGTCAATGTGAAAACTAACCTATTTAAAAATAATAATCAAAAAATATTTGACCTAAAATAAATGGCTGCATAAATATTCACGCCCTTTAAAAGTGACTGACCTAATTCAAAGAAGGTCCAGCCAACATTAAAGGTTTTTTTTGTAATTTTTTTTATTTTGTCACACAAGCCAAATTTTGTAATATATTATTTATTTCAACATTCAAGGGGATAAATACTTTTTATAGACACTGATCACTTGAATTTCTCTACTGTGTCTATTCCTAACTCTGATTCCTAACTAAAGGCGCTTTCGCACTGCACGGAACGGTACGGAGCGGAACGGTTCCGAGCGTGTTCGCATTACAACTTGCGATCGGTTCCACCCGGCCCCATGGAACCACAAGAGCTGTGGTTCCAATCGTGCTGGCCAAGCGGTTTTGCTTAGAACCAGCAGCTGATTGGCCGCTGGTTGTTATGGAGTCAGACGTTGATTTTCCGTTGACAGCTGGCTCTCACTAAACTGTATTTTATTTTGTAAAGAGTGCTCTTTTCAATATTTTTATTATTAGTTTTAACTAGCAATGGATTCGACTCAATATAGTGCAATCACCTGGTCTAATGAACGAGTACAGTCGGCCGCTACATCGAAACCATTGTTTAGTTTTAAAAATAATGACGTCCGGTACCGCTTCGATGGCGCCCTCAGTGTAATGCGAACACAACAGGGCTGGAACCGTTCCGTTCCGTACCTTTCCCTGCAGTGCGAAAACACCTTAAGTGACATCGGAAGGCAGTTGACCTGAAAATGTCCTGCATGCGCAGTAGAGGGCGCAATAGCGTCAGCGTTCAAAGTGTTCTTCCAGCCGCCATAAAAAGAAGAAGTGCTCAGTGTTTGCGGAAGTAAACATAGAGGCCAACGGTGGAGCTTAGCTTACATATTTGAAGTAGTTATCTGGCTGGAGCAGCATATTAACAACTTAATCCTCATAATTCGTCATGGTTGTTGTTTTTCTTCCCACTCTCTTTCTTGCTAAATTGCTAAACAGTACACAGATGTTTGTGGTTGTTACATGAAAAGAAGTAGAAAGTTCAAAGGGGAAGAAATATTTTTGCCAGGTCTTGAATTTAATACTTCTGTTGATTTAGTTTACCTGATCCTGGTCTCTTTATATGAGATGGTTGGTTTTCCATCAGGTCCATAGTACCTATTTTACATCAGTCTATCGCTTCTTCTCAGAATTTCTAAACCAAAACAGAGGCATGGAGAGTTGGTCAGTAACTTGATATGCTTTGATATCACAACGTATATCAAACATATGACAAAATTGCAAGACTTTTAATCAGTTTC